ACTTCAAGCAACTACGCTGTCGTACAGATATTTACAGACGGCGTAAATTTCCGCAACCAGCTGACTATGCTGGTTGCATTTTTCCTTGAGAAGACTAATGGTGCTGTCCGCGCAGAAGCTTGATCCGTTTGAGCATGGTATTATGCGTGAACCACTGAAAGGGTACGGCTTAGAACTAGTGTGTTGGAATATGTAGCAAAACGTTAGGTGGGACATTTGATTTCGATCGCCGTTACAGGTCAATCAGATTTTAGCCTTGGTGAGGGCGTCAAGAACGAGAGCTTTCTCAAACAAAATACGATAGGGCACGATAGCTGACGTAGATAAACGTTAAAAACATGATGATATTGCCCAAGCCTCGGGTAAAGTCACTATGTTTTTCAGCTTTTTTGGATGCTTATCGGGCAGTCTCAGGTTTTTGCTGGGGTCACTTTGTCGACAAATGTTCAATTTTTCGCTCGCACACGGATGTTGATAAAGATCTCGGGGGCCGCTGGTGCGTTTGTTCTGAGCATTTTTTTTTTACACACTTGTATATTTAAGCGTCTGCACGGCAACTGAGCGACTAAAACTTACAAATAAAGCGCGTTACCAATTAGCAGACGCTCGCAATTCAAGCTCGCGTTTAATGCCGTTGCCCTCGGGACATAATTTTTACCAGAAAACCTACTTTTTTCCTTTTGGTTCCGCTGTACGTACGACACATGGTTGTAGACGAACCCTCGTCGTCTGCTCCCGCTCTTCGCCGGAGCGAGGCTTGACGGGATTACATATTGGCGCATGCTCGATTTTCTCGGTGCAGCGAGTGCATGCACACGTGGGGTGCCGCCGCTCAAACGAACTCCGAGCGTGAAACCGCTCGTGGAGTGCCGGCCGAAACGAACCCGCTCCACGCCGCGAGTGGGCACACAATTTTCTCCCCCTAACTATCACCAGGCAGTGTGGTGTTCGCTACTCCAACTAACTATAGGTGGCGCCACTAATTTTCCGAAATTGCGGTTATAGTGAGGGTCGGAGATGCGTGCCGCTGCTGAGCCTGTCTAGTGTGCTGGCTTCCCTGAGCGACACAAATTATTTCTGGTAATACGAGGAAGCTAGGGTGTTTTGAGCGCAGGTCACCTGTTTATCGTGAAAACAAAAACGGTGTTTATGGTGTTTAGCGTTATATTTATGCCAGGACGCACATTTTAATTCTGGAGCAAAACTGAAACTAACCTCTATTTTGATTTAATTTTTCGGTATATGTCTTAATTTCGGATTCTTTCATAGCTCAAGATGTGTCTCACATCGCAATTATTTAGTTGGTTGTTGTTCAAGGGAAACTATTTTGTGACATAAGTGTTCGATCCAGGCACTTCAAAATATTTGGGAGATTTCAGTGTCCCTTTAAAGACGTGGTCTTTCATACACCTTAGAGCTAACCTAGAATATTGTATTTGTTGAAAAAACCAGTGCCGATATTTGTGCGATCTCGTTTCCTTTTCTCGCTCAGATAATTGTCATGTGGAATAATGAACTGCGAGTCTTTTAATGGGTTTGGGTATTTAGATGATTAATTGTTTTAACATTATCTCCAACATAAGAGTAACAGAATAAATCCCATTTTTACTACAAAAACCCAAAGACGGAATCCGAGTCCAACAATAGAAGTGTGCGTGTTTTTTCAAAAGCCGCGTGACGCATAGGACTTTACATTGCATCTAGTGTTGGACTGTTTGTCGATCTTGATAACAATGTCAGAGTTTTTCATATGCTAAAAAGAAAACAAAATGATACATAGAGTTTCTCTGTATTTTGAGCTCTTAGTTTCGTCTGTCAAACGCGTTCTTTTGTCGACAACAGCCTTTACTCTCGCCATATAAATTACCTACATAAGGGAGAAATGAGACTTTTTGTTAAAGCCTTAGAAAGCCCTGATATTTGATCTTCCGGGTCCGATCGAGAAAATGCTTTTCAATACGTCTAAATAAACTATGCATCACAAAAAGCTGAACTCTATGAGAAGGTAACGCTAGCTGTGGAGATAAATTGTGAAATTTCAAGCACATGACTTTACGGGCGCCAACAAATGCAAAAGTACACTGCTGATATTTGAAGCTACTTGGAAAGTTACTTCAGTCCCACGCCCCAATCCGTCAGCAAGACTTGGAACGTACCGAAACAAAGTGTCAGATGTAAGCTCAGCGTCAGATACTTGCAGTAACTTTTAGATCACAGCGCATTCATTGTTAAGTCAGAATTTACAAATTGGCTGCAGGCTTTGTTCGCTAGACACATTATGGACGAATATTTGGGAAAGGTCATGCACCAGAAGTATGGTGGACGGAAAATGACAATTGTACCTTTGTTTTTACACTGCCTACTGTGATAACAATGCGTACCTGTGAAATCTTACTTGAGGAAACTTCCTATGTCGCGATCTCGGTTGTCTATGGCACGCAAAGTTTTGATATGGTAAAATCGTCGGAAAAGAACAAGGACTGAAGGTCCGTTCACACGCGCGTTTCACTGCGACCGACCGAGACAAGACCGGTTTTTAAGCCTCTTGCGACGGCTTAAGACCGGCTGCATTGCTCCACAGCTGGTCAGAAGCTGTTGAAAGAGGCTTAAAAACCGATCTTGTGTCAGTCGGTCGTGGTCATACACAGGTTTTAAGACGAAGAGATACAACACCAAGCGCCTTGTGTTGTATCTTTGTCTTCGTCCTTGTCTTTTCTCGGCGCTTTTACATTTCAGAACTCTGAACCAGCTGGCCCAACTAGCCACTTTGCTCCGGCCAACGGAGACACAGGAGAACGAGTGTGCTACTTTTGTTGCTCTTGGCCTCATGAACGGTGATTTAAAGCAGGACGGTCAGGTTCATATACTTTCTTATCAAACGTCTGCTCACTCGTCGTTCTAGCCACGTCGGAATAGCTGAACCAGCGAGTCTTGGTGCATGCTTGCTGTACAAAGAGGTGCCATGCAGTTGAATGCCCGGACATTCGCACACACTCATTAATAGTGTTGGGTAAAGTACATCTAAAAGGTACTTCAAGTAAAGTTCAAAGTAAATTAGACATGATGTACTTTAAGTAAAGTAGTAAGTACACTGGGTGCAATGTACTTAAAGTAAAGTACTATGAATACAATGTACAGTTGGGGACAAAAGTCTCCAGGACGTGCGAGCTGTGGCTGAAACGCATTGCTCTGCCATCTGCCGGCGGGTCGCCTGGTTTCGAGATCACACAAAAGCACATGCGCGTCCTACTCTGCCTGCAAACATGTGTGTTTTCCCGCTCTTCTGCGGCACAGCGCCTAACTCGGAATCGGGCGCGTGGTACCGCCTCGGAGATAGCGCTGGCGGCTGACGAGCGTCTGCTACACATTCCGAAACTCGAGATACCGCCTGGGTCATTGCGCCGCATTTCGCCGTGTCAGCGCACCTTGCTTTATAACCAGTTCAGCTTATCGCTCAGTTGAGCTATAGGTGCAATGTCAGTAAGCGCTATCTCTTAGGCGGTACCACGCGCCCGATTCCGAGTTAGGCGCCTCGCTGCAGAAGACCGTAAATGCAAACATGTTGGCAGGCACAGTAGGACGCGCATGCGCTTTTCTGTGATCTCGAAACCAGGAGACCCGCCGGCAGATGGCAGAGCAATACATTTCAGTCGCAGCTCGCGTGTCCTGAAGACTTTTATCGCCGACTGTACTTTAAAAGTAAAGTACAAGTATTTTAACACAGTCTTTCATGATGTCCTTTAATTCCTGTATACTGTGATTTTTTAACTGGTATGCATTGCCCAAGAGTGATCAGGGGTGCATGACCTATTTTCAAAAACAGCGGCGAATATTTGATAAAGTCAAGTGGCCACAGAGTAGTTATTTTCAGGAATGGAGCCAAATTCAGACGTCGCTCTTCTGAATTGGCGCCGCTTGCACTGGCTTGTTGCACCCAAGGGTGTTAAATGTATTAGTAGGGAGCGTGACGTCAGCCCCGTTGCTTCCGCAAGCAATCCTCTCAGAGGAGTGTCCTCTTTTTGATGAAAAAAACAGTGAGTGGTGATAATTGATCATAATGTCACACCTGGGATCGGGGTGCGAAAAAATTGAGGAACTTTCAAGTCGAAGGAAAAGACGAAAGAGAATGTCTCAAAACATTTGTGACATTCTCCTCTGTTGTCTTTTTCTTCGACTTGAAAGTTTAATTGTTCCGCACCACAGTTTCAGGTGCTAGACTATGATTAATTTTGCTCTCTTGATATTTTAAACCTTGTTTGCGCTGACCGACCGAGAAGTAGAGAGAGTTTGAAAAGCTACTGGGAAACCGCCCCTCGCAGAACAAACGGAGCGGGGTGTCGTCTGCTCACGTCTCTGGTGAGAGTAGAATGTCCCTCCCAGTATTTTTTCGGAGTTGACAAAGCAACATTTCGTGATACAAATTTAACAAAACCAAATTTGGGGAATTTACTTTGAAGTCGGGAATGGTACTGTCCTCGGAAAGTGCCTGAAAAAAATACTTAAAGTAAAGTACAAGTACATACTCAGATAATGTACAGTCTCCGGCGATATGAAAGACCCACTGGGAGCGCGTGGCCGAGGCGGTGGCTGGCGGGGGCGCTGCGAGCGCTCTGGGCAGTTTCATTCCGCTTCGAGGGGAGGACGCTCACTCGGGACTCGGCACAAACTGATGAGCGCGTTTCGCTTTATCCGAGCCAGAGTGAGCGTCCTCCCCTCGAAGCAGAATGGAATTGCCCAAAGCGCTCACAGCGCCCCCGCCAGCCACCGCCTCGGCCACGCGCTCCCAGTGGGTCTTTCATATTGCCGGAGAGTGTACTTCAAGTAAAGTACAAGTTTCCTAAACCTATTTGAAGTAGTACTTTAAGTACAATGTACTTAAAGTACTTCCCAACACAACTCATTAATGCGTCAAATTGTGCCTTGCATGTATAGCCATTTATATTGTGGTTGTTTCTGTGTTTTGTCTTTCATAATATACATGGTTATGTCTATTTGTGTAGGTGAGGGAGGTGCATGCTCGGAGACCGAGATCCTCTTCAAATGCTGTTTCTGCACCCTTGTCACCAGATATCAGCGTGAAATCCTCGGTCACTTGGTTGTTCATGGTGACGATGAACAACTCGAGTGCCAGCAGCGCCCAAAGTCCTCTTCCGAAGCGGAAGACTTAAGACGCCACATTGAGCTTCACGAGCAAAAAGGATCTGCTGAGTGTCAGCTGAGTGATCCCATTCCAACGCACCCGTGTAAAAAACCTTTCGATTGTATGCAAGCTTTTCAAGCCGTCACTTGGAGTAAGCAGTTCATATGTGTCAGCTGCGCGAAGGGATTCGCGCGAAGCATAGACTGTATAGACCACATTCGAAAACACTCAGACGAGAGGCCTTTCGAATGCGAGCTATGTGCCAAAGTCTATAGTTCGCGTACAAACATGATGCGCCACCTGCGAAGACATACGGGAGAGAGGCCTTTCAAGTGCAAGTATTGTAGCAAGGCATTTACTCATACCTACCTTCTTACCTCCCACATGCGCACACACTCAGGCGAGAAGCCCCACAAATGCGAGCAGTGTCAGAAAGCCTTTAGCGAGGAAGGGAGACTGAAGCGGCACATTTTAATGCACACGGGCGAAAGGCCTTACAAATGCCACCGATGTCCCAAAGCGTTTAATGTTTACCGGTCCCTGACGCAGCACCTTCAAACGCACGCGGGCCATAGATCTTTCAAATGCGACCTATGTCCTGAAGCCTTTAACACACGTGGCACCCTGACGAAGCATATTCGAATTCACACAGGCGAGAAACCTTACAAATGCGAGAAATGTTCCAAAGCCTTTAATGCACGTGGGAGCCTGACGAAGCACATTCGAATGCACACGGGCGAGAGGCCTTACAAATGCGACAAGTGTCCCAAAGCCTTTGGTGCACTGGGCACATTGAAACAGCACATTCGGATGCACACGGGCGAGAGACCTTACAAATGCAAAAAATGTTCCAAAGGTTTTGGTGCGCCTTGGACCCTGAAGGAACACATGAAAACGCACACGGGTGAGAGGCCTTTTAAATGCGACCAGTGTCCTGGAGCCTTTAGCGTGCGTTCGAACCTGAAGCAGCACATCCGAGTGCATCATAAGATGTACAATGGCACATCTCAGCACTTGCCATAGTCAGTCGACCCGAGCAAAGGGGAGTGTTATGTACGAAAAAGGAACTGCCTGGGAATCGGAAGCATGCGACAAGACAGTAACGTCATGGTGCGGCTCCTAGTAGAAGCATTTCGCAGAGGCATCGGGTTTAGTAGCCGACCTAAGTTTTTATTCATTGCTAGCTTGCATAAGCACAGGGCAATACTAAACGTAAAGGCCACAATCGGCGCTAACATTTCTTTTACACGAGACCCGGGAATTAAGAACAAGTCCCCTCTATGCGCTGGTGAAAACAACCAGGGTGATCTCAATCCCAGTTCGTGTACTAAACTCTTGCCAGCGGGAGAAAAGTTATTTTATGAGTTAAAAGTACTTTTCTTGTTGATTTTACCACCAAGGGCCGATTGCACCAACACCGCTGAGCGTGAATCAGAACTTGGTCGCAGACCTATGCTGGGTTTTGGTTTCGTTCTGTTACACTAAAATCACTCATTGCTAAACCTAGCATTACATTTCGCCTGTCGTCGGCTCTCAATTTTGGGCACTTTTCTTTCTTTTAATTTTTATTCCCGGATTTAAACCATGGCGACTGGTTTTTAGCGGTGAATGCAGTGGAAAAGTGTGTGTAAAAAGTTTTAGGCTTTAATAGCGTGAAAGTCTCGACAGAATGACCTTCGATACTAAGAAGGATACAAATTACTGTTGTGTGAAGTGTTTGTCGACCCCTGCTTTCAAGTGAGCCTTTCACTTTTAGTGCTTGTTAGCCCTAACCGGGGCAGGTATGCAGCTGTGGGGCAGATGTCAGTCTTCCTGTTGGTTTTTCTGTTAACGTGCTTATTCGTATGTATTCATTTGTGCATATCTGTGACGTATTGCTATATACAACCTTGATTATTTTTACTTTCAAGGCATATCTTTTATTTTGATCAGCGCATTGAATAGCTGCAATCTTGATCTTGGCGATCAGCTGAGTTTCGACATTTCTGCCATTTGCATCAGATTGTGACGAACGGCCCACTTAGATAATAAAACAGCGAAAAATGCTTTTTTTTTGTTTTTAGAGCTTTGTGCCAATTTTCAATGAAGTTCCCTTGTCTCGCGAGTAGAATCTTAGCTTCGAAAAACTTTCGTTCTACAATCGTAACTTTTCTGGTGATTGTGCCTTGTGGAGATATTGGGCTCTATACCTTTCTTTCATGGCGATGACAAATCTCAACAACTATGATGCCAGATTCGCTCAGCATTGTATCAGTGTAGGCTGCTACGGTTGGTGGGAGGAGACGACCGTTCTCGGCGACACAATGTGATGAACTGGTGGGAGTTTTCACGCTTCAAAGACCGCCGCTGTCTATTTGTTCAAGTATGTAGACAATAGCATGACCCTTAGTGAACTCCAGGTGTGCCTGTTATCACTCGCCAAGGAGCTTCTGGTTGTTCTTCTCTGTCAGCAATAATAAAAAAAAACTGTTCTGAGTGACCTCTTGGTGTTTATAAATTGACAGTCTGTACGATCATCAAGGGATCCATCGGTGGTATCGCTTTGTTGTATGGGTAGTTATACATTCTTTCCAAATCACCGAAACAAAAAACAGATAGTTCCATTACCAAGGGGTTTGACAAGATAAAGCCATTTCAAGATGTAATTGGTCTGGTTGAAGTCGAAAATTATCTTGAAGGCGTCTGATCCTACCAATATATTTTAGCCATCATTGGTCCTCCTTTGTTCTCTGGTTCTTTCCGGGGTCCGTGTGCCTTTTATTACTTGGAGTTTCTAATATCTGATTGAAATATTTGCGTAGAGCTACTCTTCAAGATTTGCCGCCCCACGCACGCACCGAATTCTGCTCCCTAGTCAGCTGCCTACCTATAGGTAAGTGTCACTTCAGATAGGAACTTCAAAGGAAAAACAAAAACCAACCGGAATGGAGCTCTAGAATGTTAACATTGTTAGGGCTTACTTTGGTTTGATTTGTATTTTACATATTCCTGGTGTTTGGCTAGTCCCTAGACTATCGGTTGTTAGCCTCTCTCCTGTACCTGTTAATGATTCCCGAACCACATACCAAAGGAGATGTTGGGGATACCATCGGTGTTTTCCTATTTCGAACACAGTAGTCGGCAACTAACAGGAGAACCACCAGTTTATTGGAACTGTGAAATGTGTGAAAGCTATCAAAGTGAAAATTAAATTCACGCTGAGCTTAGGACCACATGGCATACATCGTGAACGAATAGGTGATGGCATGAGGGGTGAACCGTATACAATGCCCAATGTGGCACAAGCCAAACCTATGGTCTCTGTTTTTAGTATCACCTAAAAGCCTCTGTTCAAGCTGACTAGTGTGGTGAATGTGCCTCGGTAGAATACCACCTTGATGGTACAATACTGTATTCAGCATTCACCTGTGTATGTAAAACCACACACTGTCATTCATATTCGCCCTGTGGAGCAGTGTACTGTGCCACAGCCACGGTGGAAGAAATACATTTAGGGCATGACTCTGGCCGCTCTTCACGCGGGGAGCGAGCGACCAGATCGTGTTCGGCGGTAGCCTCGAACCAGGAGTAGTTCCGCGCCGCTGCGGAGGGCGCTGAGCTTTGAGCACCATGGGTATGAGGTCCCTCCTCGGCGACCACGGTGTCGGCGGCATAGCGAGCTCGCCTTTTTCGCGGTGTGGTGGTGTGGCAGTGGTGTGCGGCCAGTGGCTGGCCTCGTGTTTGGCTTTGGTGCTGTTAGAGTGTAAAAGAAAGTATGAGTGGGACGAGCTACAGGCTCCGCTCATGCTTTCACTTGTACCTCAAAATGTGGAAAGCGATCAGGCGGAACCAAGCCGCTTCGATCGCAGCGCCACCTTCGCTGCGATCGAGCAACGACAGGGGAAGGTCATATGGGCAACATAGCCCCTGAGGGGCTATATTGTATTTTGTATGATTCTGACGTCACGGGTAACGTCAAAGCACGACGTCATCGTCGACTACGACGTTACGTGACGCCAAGATGCTGTCGTAAGGCCGTCGTAACGTCGCGTCGAGGACGACGCCGCTTTGCGACTTCAAGTCGCTGTTGTAACGCGGTCGTGATGTCGCGTTGAGGACGACGCCGTTACGCGACATCAAGTGGCCGTTGTGACGCGGTCGTGACATTGCGTCACGTTGAGGACGACGCCGTTATGCAACATCAAGTCGCCGTTGTAACGCGGTCATGACGTCACGTGCCGCATCGAGGACGACGTGGACGTGGTCGTCGATGCCGACGTTGACGTCGACGTCCCACGTCATGTTAACGTCTTCCTGACGTCATCGTTAATGTCAACGTCACAACGAAGCCTTGACAGCCTGTAGCGTCGTCGCCTTCTCCAGCATCAACGTCAACGCGCAGTCACGACGAAGTCGACGTCGTGTAACGTCGTCGACGATGACATTGACGTCATGAAGTTGTTGGTACGTCTTCGTGACGTCGAGTTGCGTCATGTTGACGACGTCGACGAACTGACACCAAGCGTCCTTATGACGTTGCATTGACAACGACGCCGTCATCTTGACGTCCCGTGATGTCGTTGTTGTCATCAACGTCAACGTTGACATCGTCGTCGTTGTCAACGCAATATGGCGTCAGAACACAGTCTTGATGTAGTGTAGCGCACGTTGTCAACGTCGATGACGACTGACGTCAAGGCGTCGTCGTGATGTCGCATGGCGTTGTTACGACAAGTCAGGTCGCGGTGACATGGTGTACGTGACGCCTGACGTCTAGGTTGTATAAAAAAAATATAGTCCGGCGTTCTATTGTGTTCTGACCTTGACCAGTGTGCCGGTCGAGCTTGGCATTGGAATGAAACGCATTTTTCATAAAAAGCGGCTAATCCGAACCACTTCAGTCGTGGCACCCGAGAGGGCGCCACGAGCGAAGTGGCTTGGGTTAGCCGTTTTTTTCCACACGCGGAGGTGTTGTGACCGTGGGCGTCCGAGTGCGACCACATGGTCGCCAGGCAGAAGGAACACAACCACCTTGTGTGACAGCTCGTCAAAAAATGCCTTTAATCGTAAATCAACAACCGGAAGAAGCTTCGCTTCCGGTAATCCCGCAGCACAACGCATGTGGTGCCATCTATTTCCAGGTGTCCTCACTACATCTCCCCTTCCAGCTCGAGGGAACTTTACCTCGTGCTTTCACAAGTTCAGTCTTTGAGGAGGCTTGACTTGCCGCCCCGAACGTGTGACGCGTATACCCGGTGGGAGACTCTGCCGTGTAGAACTGGGCACCACCGCTGAATCGCCTGTTGGTCTTTCGGCAATAGGAACTGGCCCGTCTGAAGTTGCAGGCTGGGTGCAAACAAAGTCGCTTGACTGGCTAGGAGTACTAGGCGTAAACGGCACCAAGTGGCGACGGTTGCGCAGGACAACACCCCTTGGCGTCTCGACCACGTAGGAGCGCGGCCGCTTGGCCGGGCTCAACACCCTAGCAGCAAATGGTATATCTTGTACCCACACCTCTTCCCCTGCTTCCAGAGGGCGCAGTGACTGGGCGGCGTGACGCCTGTTGAAGTCCTGGCGTTGATGGCTCTTCACGCTCTGGTCCCTGCTCTTGACGAGCTTTGGCGACGGCCACTTCGGCATCAGCGATGCAGGTAACCCTGGCAGCCTGGTCCGGAGACGACGACCCATGAGCAGCTCCGAAGGGCTGTAGCCGGTCACTCCGGGTGTGTCCCGGTACACCAGTAACGCCATGTGCGGATCCTCTGCCTTCACGAAGAGCTCTTTCAGTGTTCGAACCATGCGCTCTGCCTCGCCATTCGGTTGCGGGTACCTCGGACTGCTCGTACTGTGGGCGAACCCATACAAGGCTGCGAAAGAGGCAAATTCCGTTGACGAAAACTGCGGACCGTTATCCGAGACCACAGTCTCTGGAATCCCAAAGCGGGCAAAGGAACTCTTCATAGCCGCGATGACTGAGCTTGACGTTGTGGTCGCAAGACTGACCACCTCGGGGAAACGAGAATAGTAGTCAACCATGACCACATAGTTGCGTCCTTGCAGCTCAAAGAGGTCAACCCCGATACGTTGCCAGGGGCGATCGGGTGTAGGAGTCCCGAGAAGCGGCTCGCAGCGCTGAATTCTTGTTTGGGCACAACGCTCACACGTGCCCACCAGTTGCTCCAGCTCGCTGTTCAAGGTTGGCCACCACACTGAGTCGCGAGCCCTTGCCTTGCATCTTCCCACGCCTTGGTGGCCCTCGTGGAGTAATGTTAGCATCTCCTTCTGAAGAGTCTGAGGAACCACGATGCGACAGTCCTTCAGCAACAGACCCTCGAAGGCTGTGATGTTGCCTCGCTTCTTCCAGAAAGCCCTAAGATGAACTGGAACGTTGGACACCTTCTTGGGCCACCCATCCTTGCAGAATCGGAGTAGGCCGGCACAGACTCCATCCTCTGCTTGGTGCTGGCGAAGGCGATCGAGGCGAGTGGATGCAAGACTTTCGATGTTCTTGAGCAGTGTCCCAACGAAGAGCTCGACGGTGTCTACTTTGTTGTCGGCAGCCTGTACAGGAGCTCGGGAAAGGGTGTCTGCTGTCGCCAGGAGCTTCCCCGGTACATAGAGAACGTTGTACTGGTAGGCCATAAGCCGCATCCTCAGGCGCTGAATGCGAGGAGGCATAGTGTCCAGTTCCGCAGATCCCAACAGAGTGATGAGGGGTCGATGATCTGTTTCGACATCAAACCTGATGCCACGGACGAACTGGTCGAACCTTTCAACAGCCCATGTGACGGCCAGAGCCTCTTTCTCCGTCTGGCTATACCGGGTTTCTGTCGGTGTAAGAGATCGCGAAGCGTAGGCAACGGCACGACGCTCTCCCGATGGTTGGTCCTGTAGCAGAACGGCTCCCAGTCCATACGAACTTGCATCAGCCGACACTGTGGTATGGTACGAAGGGTCGTACTTGGCCATGCAGACTTTGGAGCTCAACATGCCCTTAAGACGATCAAAGGCAGACTGCTGACTGGGCCCCCAACACCATGCACTGTTCTTTTGGAGAAGAGCACGAATCGGCGTAGTCATGTCGGACAGGTGAGGAAGAAAACGGCCTACGTGATTAGCCATGCCGAGAAGTCTCCTGACACCACTGACGTCCGCTGGGGCCTCCAAGTTGACCAGAGCCTGGACCTTGTCTGGATCGGGGCTGATACCGTCTGCACTGACTGTGACTCCCAAGAACCTAATAGTGGACGCTGAAAAGACGCACTTGGCTCTGTTCAGTTTCACTCCGGCACTGCTGAGGCGACCCAATACTGTTGCAAGACGCCGGTCATGTTCCTCTTGGGTGCGTCCGAAAACCAAAATGTCGTCGATCATGTGGACGACTCCGTCGAGACCCTCCAGGTCCTCCCCATTTGACGTTGAAAATACTCCGGAGCAAAGCAAATTCCAAAAGGAAGGCGACAGAAGCAGTATCTGCCGAACGGGGTGATGAAGGTCGTGAGGAGCTGGCTTTCAGCAGATAGCTTGATCTGGTGAAAACTGGCTGTAGCGTCGAGCTTGGAAAAGATCCGTGCAGCACCCAGACGTCCTAGGATGTGCTCCACCGATGGGAGGACGTGACGCTCCCGCTGGACCACCTGGTTAAGGCCTGTGAGATCGACACATATCCGGTAACCTCCAGAGGGCTTGGGGACGACAACGATACCAGAACACCGCTCCGTCGGATCGTCGACTTTACGGATCACACCGTCAGCTTCTAGCTTATCCAGTTCTTCGCGGACAATGTTATGAAGGGGAATCGGAATGCGGCGAGGAACGCTGAGGGAGAACGGCTGTGCTCCTGGCTGGAGTCGAATCACATACTCGTCCTTCAGCTCACCCAACCCTTCGAAGATGTCGCTGTGAAGAGGGCTCTGCTGGTTGAGACTGGAGAGGGTGTCAACGAACTTCACCACACCCAGTTTCTGGATGGCAGGAAACCCCAAAAGAGGCGGGTCTTGCGACGGCAGGACGTAAACCCGCTCCACTACCGACTTGCCTTTCCAAGTCAATGTGGCTTGGAAGGTACCGAGAACTGTCAATGGGTGATTGCCCGGTCCAGTGAGTTGCCCTTCAGGCTCTTGGAGACTGCGAGGTGCTCCGGGAAACGTGCTTGGCACCACCGTGACTTCGGCTCCGGAGTCCACTTTGAAGTCGACGTCGTACCCGTTGACGGCGACCTTGACAAACTTTGCTCGGCCCGCGGTCGAAACGGCATGTAGATGAACAGTGCTCAAACTTCTTTTCCGCTTCTCGCAGACATCTTCGAAGTGACCCAGGCGTCGACAGTAGTGACACTTGGCTTGTCTAGCCGGGCACTCGTTACGGGGGTGCGCTTGACGGCCGCAGAATCTGCAGTTCTTGCTGCCTTCTCTCGGCGACAACGCCGAGTCTCGCTTGGGAGACGTCTTGGGGGCCGGTTTCCGTCCTTTCTTCACACGTGCTTCATCCAGCTTCAGCTGCTCAGGTGCGACGGCAGCTGTCTCGTCACGAAAAACGGTCGCCCGCGCCTTGACGGCGTCTTCGTGGATACGTGCTTGTAGCCGGGCCTCGGCCATGGTGAGGGTCGGACAGCGGCAGAGCTTGTCAGAGAATCTCGAGTCGAGAAGTCCTACGACGAAGCGGTCTCTAACGAGCCTGTCCTCGACCTCTGTGGACGGATAGTTGCACTTGCGGACGAGTGCTCGAAGGGCCGTGTAAAAACTGTCGACGGTTTCCCCTCGTTCCTGGACCCGCCGGTGAAAGAGCACGCTCTCGTACACTTCGTTCGGTGGATGCACGAAGTGCGCCTTGAAGTTGTCTGTTACCGCAGCGAAGGACCGCCATTCCTCTGCGGTGAGGCCTAACGTCTCAAGAACACGCCGCGCCTCTTCGGATCCCATAGTGTACAGTAACGTCCGCACCTGAACTTCGTCCGACGCTTGGTAGAGGCCTGACGCAAAGCTGAAGTCTTCGAATTGTAGAAACCATTGCGGCCACTTGTCGGGGTTTGCGAAGTCGAATTTGGGCGGTGGAACCAAGCTCGGGAGTGAGACGACGGGGGCGATGGCGGCGGCAGCTTCCGTTGTTCTCTCCTGCGACATGACGAGGAACGCAGCGACGGTGACGAGAAGACGGAAAGCGCGGAGACGACGAGAGGCAGGGCTAGCTGTGAGCATAGCAGCAGCGAGGAGGACTTCAGACCGGGAGGCCGGCCACTTCTGACACCATGTTGTGACCGTGGGCGTCCGAGTGCGACCACATGGTCGCCAGGCAGAAGGAACACAACCACCCCGTGTGACAGCTCGTCAAAAAGTGCCTTTAATCGTAAATCAACAACCGGAAGAAGCTTCGCTTCCGGTAATCCCGCAGCACAACACATGTGGTGCCATCTATTGCCAGGTGTCCTCACTACAGGAGGTACGAAAATAGCACTCCGGTGGCTCCATGCAATCGTCCTTTCTAGTACACTCTAGTGCTGTGTTGATGACAGGTGTCACCATCGTGCACGAAGGTGAGCCTTAACCCGAAGGAGAAGTTATGCTATAAGAATGGGAAAGACGAGCTTCGTTCGCAACTGCGATTGGGGGTATTTCTTCCACCTTGTGCATTTACTCTATCCTGAAGCCTCCGAAGTTCGGCGACTGTAGAGTAGTTGAAGGGGAGAGGTCATTACTTGACGTGTCAGATCTCGGAGCCCTGATCAGAACGTACGATAAAAGCCCGTTGTCTCCTCATCTCGTTCACCAAGTGAAGACCAAGCTTGACACCCTAATTTCTGTCAAAGACTGGGAATCCGAAGATGTTTGGACAGAAAAGGCTGAAGGAACCAAGACTGTGGACTGCATACTATATTATGTAACTGAGTTTTGAGTGTGAAAATGAAAAAAGCTACACGCTGCCCTGCATGCCGATCCGCTTTCAGCATCGACAAGAACACTTCTGCTGAAGCAGCAGTGACAAACGTGAAGAACAAAGGAGGCCTTATACACCCCAACACGAAACTTTCCAGCTACACAAAAAAGAAAGCGGAACAGTTACTCATGGAAAATAAAAGCCACCAGACTGTCTACTGGGACACAATTGAGTGTGTTCTTTATACAAGCCATGGATGTTTTGAACACTTAATTTGTGCTCAATATTAAAGTGCATTCTCTCTCTCTCTCTCTCTCTGACACATGCACAATAACGTTTATATGCACTGAACACAAAGAAGAAACAATTGTCCAGTTGCTTCACTACTACATCAGCATGCGAAGGCGACAACACTGTAAGCATATTACTATGAGTAGGAACAAAGAAGCTCAAGAAAGAAGAAATCAGCAAAGCAGTGCTGGTCTTAGTTTAAGAGCGTGGGCGAGAAACACGGGATGTAGGAAATGGCGTTCCTTGGAAGTTGGTAGAATGCAGTGAATTCAGCTTTTGTGTACATTTTAAAGCAAAAATGTTTGTCTGGTATTTTTTTTTTACGTGTAAGAGGGGTGACACCATATTGTGAGTGTATAGATGAAAAGTGATCTATGTCCTACAACCGCTACTACTGTTTGACTTTGTCACTGTGTCCTCACTTCAGTCAGTATGTCATCATACTGTGTCATCATTTCAGTCACTATGTCATCACAAATAAAAATGTTTTCTACTCACATGGTTTGTATGTACCGCAGTACCAGTTGACATCGTATGTATAAACCATTTCTAATGCTAATACCTTTCTACGCATGTAAAGAATTATTTAGGCCCCACTGTGTAACATTATTAGAATTTTTTTTTCAATAAGAAGGCAGGAGCAGGGTGGAAAAGCGGGTCACGCGCGCCATTGCTGTGCTTGCAAGGGACATCATCATCTTTCCCACGATCAAAACGAAGCGCAGGATTGTTTCCGAAGGATTCTACAGAATAAAAGGATTCCGAAGCGTCGTCGGAGCGATCGACTGTACGCACGTCTCCATTCAATCGCCTGAGGGTGACCATGGCGAACTGTACCGGAACCGGGCAGGATATTTTTTCATTGTACAGACTGTATCGGACCATCAACTCTACATCCGCAACATTGTAGTCAGGTGGCCAGGCTCGGTGCACGATAGCACATTCTTAGGCAACAGTACTTTAAAAGCGCTGTCGGAGAGTGGACAAGCGAAAAAGCATTTTGGTGGGTGATGGAGTCTACGCCTGCTTCAGGTAGCTCCTCACACCAGTTGCTGCTTTGAAGACACCAGTTGAGATAGCCTACAACCGAGCCCATATTCCCACACGCAGTACTGTTGAAATACTGTACGGCGTGTAGAAGCGCCGCTTCCCTGCTCTGGAGTTCGTACTCCACATCAACCTGGAGACTGCACTGTCCAGCATCGTGGCCATGGCAGTGGTCCACAACCTGCACTCCATCTGGGTGAAGCGGAACCACCTGTGCACTTAAAGGGATGGTGAACCGAAATTTAGATCTCAAATAAAAAAAAAACAAAAAAAACAATGGAGATGTAGGCAGGACGCTACAATCCCTTCAACTCTACTCGTAAGGTGATATCTCGAATGGACGGCCATATTTTTGGAAAAAAAGAGTTTGAGATTGAACCAGGCCTTCGAGGCGCGTGATGTGAAGATATCTTGTTTCCTCCTCTCTTCGCCCCTCCAGGCGGTGAGGCGGTGAAGACGTGAGGCTGTTCCCCCTCCTCCTTGGAGAAACAAGATGTAAACATGTCGGTCAAATGCGCCTCCTTTTTTTGAAAAATACGGTCATCCGTTCGATATATTGTTTGGTGTTTGTAGCATCCCGTTGCACGCTTTTGAGCCGTGTTTTGTGGAATCCAGATTTCGGTTCAGCATCCCTTTAAGGTTGGCAAGTCGCCGACGCGTCTTCCCAGGTGTAGTCTTCAAGCATGTCTCTGAGTACGATGGCAGGACCAATGCAAGATCAGCGCTCATCGAGCATGTGTTTACCAGGCGATCATGTGTCGCTAGGCGAAGGCATTAAAGGGGTACTACAACGACATATCGGCACTTATTGTTTGTTCTATATGTGTTCAAAGGAGCAGTATCACATCGGACACACCAATATCTTGGTAAAAAAGACAGGAAAATGAATTTTAAAACGAATTAAACGATTATTAAAGAGCCTCTGGTGGATGTCGTTAACGCCTCGTTTGTAATGCCTGTCTAGGAACCTTGACAGGTAGTGACGATAACTGTCTCGCCTCCGGCCACCACGAGAGAAGAGGGGAAGAAGGAACTCCCCTTTCCCCGAGAATCTCTTTTGCGTGTCCCAGAAGTTGCTATTGTGTCCCTCTACAAGATTATAGAAGATTAACCCGTCAATCAAAATTCGTACAAAAATAGCTGGTTCGGTGGCTGGAACGACTAGGACATCATGACGTCAGCCTCGCCGCAGCTTTGTTCGTCCCGAGACGAACTACGTCACGATTGCGTCGGACGTCACGTGCACTCCGCTGGCTGCTCTCCGAGCGCTTGCCCGAGTGGGCCGTTTATAACGAAACATACAGCCATCAGGCTCGAAATACAAACGTGCGATTGTCATTTACGGATATTGTGGATCATATTCAGCCTACTTCTGAACACGACGGGTATATTTCAAATTTCGTTGAAGTGTCCGTTTAAGGTAACTCGGGAGCTTCGACTATTACCTCTAGAAAGTAGTTGTGTCCTCCCAGTTAAGACACTCCGGAGAAGAGAAAGGAATGGGCCGCGAAACCCAATGTTTGGTTATTTCGTCAGTAAGATCTTGTGATTCACTGTGTCGAATGCCTTTGCTACATCAATAAAAAGCGCGCAAGCACCCTGGGCCCGTTTGCTCGATGCGCTAACCGCGGCTAAAGTTAGCCGCAGTACCTAGAAGAGGGATTTTGAAATCACGTGACTGGCTCCGTAGGGATGCGGGGAAACATGGCGATGCCCCGGTGAGTGAGCGCCGCTCGCTTTGGAACCAATATGTCGTTCTAGCTGCAGTATCGGGCGCGTTAGTCAGCAATGAATGGTACAGGAGGCTTTCGCTTTACCTTAACTCACTTAAATCGCAAAGGATGAGCAATGACCTCGCCGCATTTTTTTAGATAGCCTTTCGATTCTGGCCATTCCTAAGCCTAAATGAACGCGATCATTGTCGGCATGGCAACGTCTTTGGGAAGCGGATTGCCTTCACTCAATCAGTAGGGTATTGATAGCACGCAGAAGCAGATAGCGTCCCAATGTGCGGAGGGCAAGTTCGTCTGCTTGCGCAGGGGGTAGCGGTGACGTCAGAACGCCAAGCCCTGATTGGCTGATCGCGACCCCCTATCTGAGCATCGTCTGCTCCTTTGCAACGTCGTCTGCTCGCAACGTCGTCTGCGTCTGTCTTACCTTTCCTGCTACTTTCGGAAGTGCAGAGGCAAGATTAACGAAACGATCTTACGCCAAAAATGTGCGTTAGACAAAACTTAAAGGGGCCCTGCAAGGACTTTTTACTGGTTTTTAATTTGCGCCGAACCTGAGCGCACTGGACGTAGTAACTTAGTGAAATTTTTATTTTCTCAAAATTCGCTTTATTTTAAAAGTTATAGGCAAATCAGAATTACAAAAACAAGCAAAA